AATGGGAGGAAAGGAAAACGGACACACGAGGTGGCATTACATCTTCTCTGAATTTCTGCTTAAGGGTTCTTGCGTACGTCAGTGATATGCTACAAGGTCTTCTTTGTTGACTTCGCACTGTACGAATGTTGCTGGAAAGAAAGAGATCGGGTCGTCTCCAAGCCTACTTCAAGACATCTTTACCAACTTTTAAAAGCCATTGTACATACAATTAGGATTCGAATGGAATATTCGAAATTTTTCCATTTCGTTTTTGTTTTTTATTGCAAAATCTAAAATCTAAATATTTTTTTCAATCTCCGTTAAAAAGTTCGTTGATTAAAATTTCAATTATTCCTCGCGGGATGCTAAATAAAGAAAGTTGTTTACGTGCGATCGCCAATCGTTTGGCACCAATTTGACGTGGTGTGTATGTCGATTACTTGGTATTGCAGCTATCGCTCATATTCATTCACTCGTGCAAGGGAAAATGACAAGAAAATGTAAAAAACAAAACAAACAAATATTCATATCGTCATCCGCATACCGCAACTTGAATTGTTTTTCAATATTTTAATGGCCTTATTCATAAAAAATAAAGTAGGTTTAAAAAGCCTTTTAAAGTGACGTTTTCATATATTTTTCGGTTTATAAACGTATTTTAAAGCCACTTTATTTTTTATGAATAAGGCCATTAAAATATAACTTGGAAGTGAAGAACCCACGCACGCAATGTGTTGCATTTGTTGTTGTTGTTGTTGCTTAAAGCTGTGAGTCATTGCTTGTTTTTGTTCGCTGCTCATCATTTAGCAGCCTTCAGCTGCATAACTTTGTTTTGGTGACTAAATATGTAGATAGTACTTCTTATGTGATTATTTTGAGGTTCATAAATTTCGGCTAACCATAACGTCATATATTACGTCAGGTATTATTCGAAACTGATTATACAAATCTTTCGTCAAATCGAAGACTTGAATGTTTAGTGTGTGCATAAAAGAAATATTTCGCGCTCAGTTCAAAATTATCCATCTGCTGTAATTTATTGCGGAAAGCCGCGAAAATGTTGCAACACTGATTGCGAAGTGTGACTACTTCAACGAAAGCAACCGCCACCCCGCTCTCCTGTCAGTGTATTTTTCGTGCCATTTATGCCTACAAATACACACACACACACATTCGCATACACATTCCGCATACATATTTGCATGTCATTTGGTTGCACACTCGCATGTGGCATTGTGGCATTGTGGCATTGCGGTGCTGCCTGAGTTATTAATTAGGAATGCGGAAGCGTTTAGATGGAATTTGCATTGTTGTTGATGCCTCCCGATTGTTGTTATTATTGCACAGCTGTTATTGTTGTTTCTCGTGTGGTGTTTGTTTTTTTTTTTTATCCGCACGCACAAAGGCATACAGTCACCGCGATTGTCACGGCTGTGCGAAATAACTCGCTGCCCGAATGTTCCTCATTTCATTTTTCCCCACAACCAGTAAATTTGTGACTGATGACCGTTTTAGCTTTGAAAGAGGCAGTGAGCGATGAGTACATTTGTGGACCTATTAACGTTTTGAGTTATAGGTTTAAATCAACTATCATAATTTCTTTTGTGCATATTTGCTTTTGGGCTCACGGTATAGAAATCAAATTTCACAAGAAAATTGCAGCGATTTACTAAAACAGTTTGTCACACTCAAGAAAAGCAACAAAAAATATATATGTAATCATTTTGAAACCACACACTTGTGCAAACCTTTAGAAACCTGGCAGTGTTGATGGAACTCTGTAAAGGATGCAGAAAGAGGCTGCTGTACGATGAAGTCCTCTGCACTAATGGTTAGCCAAGGTGTTATCTACCCTTCCCCTCAACGACAAACAATACGTATATAAATGTATGCTCATTTCGTGATCTGGTTTTGAGTGGGCCATATACGCGGTATTCCGCCACAACCATGAAACCTCCACCATGCTTAGGCAAATTTTGAAAATTCTGCTTTGACTTCCATGAGCTAGGTCCCATTTATTGCAGATCCGTGGTCTCATTACCGAATACATACATGCATATATGCCTATGCTCTGGGATTAATATTGGGGTCATTTCGAATTAATTCGAAATTGATGCCAGCTGCCTCCTACAGTCCTCCACTTGTGGCCTGATTCTAGGAAAATCCTTCTTCGGGTTTCACAATCCCGGGTACCCCCTTTAAAGGCTGCCAATCCTGAGTCGGTCGGAGCCTCAATTGGCAAAAGAGTCTACGGCTTTCGAAGTCTTACCAGAGACTTAAAACCTGGGACCGCGGGCGAACAGATGCCCCTGGAGTGTGTTCGTTGGCTAGATAAGCAAAACTAGTGAGCCGAACAAGACCAAAAGACAGGCCAGATGCACATGTAAGATCGTACAGCTGATGAGATTTGTAGGGAAGAATGTGGCTCGTCAAGCAACTCGAGCCAGTGTAGAAAACCGGAAAAGAGCAACAATCCATGCCTATTGTTCACCCGGGATGGAAATTGCTCCCCAGTAAGGCTAGTAAGACTTGCGAGATTAGCGAGATGAGCAGAATGAATGAGGTGAGTTAAGCGACTCGAACTAAGGTTTAAAGCCGATTTTCACTCCGGATGGGACAGCCTGGGGTGGAATGAGATCAGTAAGTCTTGTGAGAGGAACGAAACGTGCTGTGGTTTAATACCTAAATGCGGGTAGAACTCGCAGGGGTTCAATGTGGGGTTGTGTTCCAACAGGGTGCCACCACCAAAAGAACGGCAAAGATTTTAGATAGGCTTCGGCTTTACCAATGTGGTAAGTGTGTCCGACCCACACTGCCTTTGGGACTGAAATGCTTGCATTCCAGGGCAATGAGTAAGGCATGAATTAATCCGCGAGCTTAATGGGCTCTGTAGAGTTCGGACCGCATACTGCGGCAGGTACCCACACTAAACCTAAACTATACCACTTTCGGCTCTGACTCTGATGAAGAACTCATTTCTGAAAATATATGTCAATTTGCTAAAAATATAAATAGTTTGGGATGAGCAAGCCGGATCCTTTTTTGCCTACATATGGCATCAGTGATCTGAACAGTATAATGCAGCAATGTTGCTCCTACTCCTTTCAGTTAGTTGATCCTTTTGACCAAAGCCAAACCCATTTGCCTTACAACTACAACAATAATTGAAATAAAAGAAGCAGCTGCCATTTACCTTCGTATGTCAATTTACCACGCGTTCGAGGTGTAGGAGCAGATGCACCTTAATAGGCTGCAACAATACCTTAAACAGCGCGACGGCAACCAGCCAGCTGCCTCAACTTTTGTGCGTCCCCTGCAGGCAGTGAGCATACATTTGTATTGCCTGTAATTACTTGTTGAACGCGTGCTGCTGATGTGACCGACCACCTGCTCTGCTGTTTGTTTGCTTTTTTTTTGAACAGCTTTAACCTTTTTAGTTCTTCTGTGCTGCTACCTTTTACGCCTGTTTGAGCATTGCCTGAGCGCCTTGACCTGCCTAAACACACCATGCCGCCACTGAAGCTACACAACTGCGCACAGTTCCTTAATCCTCGCTGCCCGTTCTTCAAAGCCAAGCCAGCAAAGATGGAAATGTAAACAAAAAATGCGAATGCAATGCGCGGGTAACATCTGTTGCAAGTAAATATTAATTACGAGGAGCTACGATAATGCGGAATGGAAAGAAACACAAATAGGGGAATGTCCTGCGAATGAATGTGCACATTTGCTGTCAGGTCACACAAAGCATCCTAAGCTATCACCTGTTGAGTGCAACAGCAGCAAAACAACGAAAGAGACGACGTCGCGGCGCACATCCACCTTTTGCTTACCTGAAATGCAGTATTTAGGTAGAGGTAGCAAAGAAAACTGTTTGTTCTTGTGAAAGACAGTCGTCATTCCATCACCTGCCTGCCTTATTCAAGAGGACACACACACACACACACACAAACACATACATTTTCGGCCAGGACAATATATTGCTGGATGATAACAAAAGCCATACAACTGGATGAGTTTTAAGACATTACAGCGCAAATTTTAACATAAAGTGAGTAGCTATGCCTCAGTTATACAATGCTTCTGTTCAATTTATAATCCTGTAGAATAGTACAGTTGCATCTGTTTAGGAGTAAGTTTCTTAACTTCTGTTCGTACATACATATACCTACTATATATAGAAAAATTGCCACAAATCTGTTAGATATCCGTCAGACTCGTCGGCAAAAAAGTCAGAAGTCTTTATGATTTTGGCCAATATCGGTCAGAGAAGTGTGTGGAGAGGTCGTGACAGGAAGTCTAACCGATACGACGTGGGAAATTCTGACTTAATTACCGACGATTCCGATGGATATCTAACAGATGTCTGACCAAATAATCATGGAAATCGGACCTAATTCGGATAAGAAAATAAATAAAATTCGCCAAATACTTCGCCCACGCCTACGCTTTTTTTGGCTGCAGCAACTTTCACCCAAAATGTCGATAGGTGGAATGCCGCACCGCTTTGCGCGTATAAGACGTCGTGGCACCCTTTGTAGGCTTAATAAGTACAAAAGATTCGGTGTCAAACGGCTGTTATCATAGCAACGCGCCAAAGATGGAAATATGTAGCACTAAGTCCAATTTATTGGAAGCGCATCGCGGTGTTGTTGCCTATTGTAAGTAGTCGGCAACAATTCCTCATTAGCACTTCTACGCCAATCACGGAAACGCTAGCACAGCTGGCGAAATACATACGTAAATATTTTTGTTTTTGAGCTTCAATATTGCTATTTAAGTAATTCACACTAACTCAATAATAAACTTGTTTTTGTAGCCGATCAGCCAAAACCGCTATTATTAAACGCTCTATGCTAATCTGATTTTAAAGACAAACAAATTACATTCCGTTTGAAATCTCGCTCAAGGCTTCATAATTTACAAAAATTATATGTATATTACGAAAATTTATATTTCCTTCCAACAATAACACTACAAATACTCCCTTTTCCGCGCATAACACTCGACTATCTGAGCGACTAGATCAAATTCCGGCATTTCATCTCCTCCGACAACAAATATCCGAGCTTCGTAGGGCTCTCCGATACTATAACATCCGCCTTCTCCAGCGCCTTGACCTTGTCGATGGCCTTACCCTTGCCACCCGAAATAATAGCGCCAGCATGACCCATACGCCTGCCCGGTGGTGCTGTGCGACCTGCTATAAAGGCCACAACTGGCTTGGCATTATCGCCCGAATTGTGTTCAATTAAGTATTCGGCTGCGTCTTCTTCGGCGCTTCCACCGATTTCGCCTATCAACACAATGCCCTTGGTCTCGGGATCCTTCAGAAAGACATCGAGGCAATCAATGAAGTTGGTGCCGTTGAAGGGATCACCGCCTATACCCACACACAGCGTTTGGCCCATGCCGTACTTCGTTGTCTGATTGACGGCCTCGTATGTCAATGTGCCCGAACGCGAGACCACGCCCACACAGCCGCGCTTGTGTATGTCGCCAGGCATGATGCCGATCTTGCACAACTCCGGCGCTATGATGCCCGGGCAATTGGGTCCCACGATGCGACTTTTCTCCTGCTGCATCAGCGCGTCCTTCACGCACACCATGTCATGCTGAGGTATGCCCTCGGTGATGACCACAATGAGTGGAATTTCGGCCTTCATCGCTTCGTCGATCGCCTTTTTGGCACCCGGCGCAGGCACATACAGTACAGTCGCATGAGGATTCAATTCCCTTTTGGCCTCCTCGACGGTGGCAAAGACGGGCTTGTCGAGATGCTTGGTGCCGCCTTTCTTCGGCGAAATGCCGCCAACCAATTTCGTGCCATATTTAATGGCTTCTTGACAGTGAAATGTGGCCTGTTTGCCAGTGAAGCCCTGACATATTACAGTTGAATCGCCGGTTAGCTTGAGGTTCACGCGAGTCTTGGTGTAGTCTGCCTGTTGGCGAAGCGCATTGCACAGAAGGTTGCTGCGCTGCGACAACAATGCTACGCGAAGTATCGAAGAGGCTATGCTCATTTTGAGTTAACCCAAAGACAATACAAATTTGACGAACTTATTTTAGCAAATGTATGTAAATAAACTTAAAAATCAAAAAAAATAAATAAATGAGAATGACAGTAAAATTTTTGATGGCGACAATATTCAACGGTGCAAGTGTTTATAAGATCGGGTTTCGGTTTGTGCCATGGGTTCGGGCTGTAAACTAATGCTGATCCCTTTCTTCATTGAAGTCGAATGTTTCGTGATTCTATAAACGGATACAACTCGCATGATGAGCTGAGTTCGGCATTGGTGTGTATTATTGCAGCAATCCTGACGCCATAGCTCATTTCAGCTCCTCACTTCTTTACAACGAATTTCAATAAGTCCCAGCTCATCGACCTATGTACGTATGTGGCTTTGTAAACTCGTCCTCAACTGATTCGCCTCGAATTCCAAATTCCAGCAAAGGCTTCAAACCTCTGACAACCGACTCGCCATGAGTGACGTGAATGCATAGAAGTGGAAACGCCATGACATTCCTGCTGCTATGCCATTGACGTAATGGGTATCCGGTCGGTCATTGCATTGCAGCGAGTATGTACATATGTATTTTGGCGCGCTGAATTAAGTTCTGGCGCGCAATGACGCGCCGCCAGTTCAGTGACACTACAGCGCTCGCATAAGACGCCAATGAAAGTTTGCCATACGTTGATTTTGCGCAGTAAATTCATCTGCTATCCGATGGGCAAATGCCGCATTCCGATCTGCACCGTCACCCCCGCAAGGCACACACACAGCCGGTGGGTGCCATAATAAGAAGGGAGCAGTAAAAGGCGCTCACAAGTGCGGCTACTTATGTACATACATACATACTCGTAATTCACACAAGTCTCATTCTGCAAGCAAAAAGAAAAAGCAAAACAATCCAGATAGCGAAGCAAATAAAGCAAACAAAGCTGTGGAACAACAAAGGCGCTTGAAAGGGAGCAGCCGCACGATTCATCGAATAATTTTTAATGCGCCCCACAAAAGACCACTAACAACAACAATAATAGTGGGGCCGGGAAAGGAGGACAAGCGGCGCGCACATACACACATTTTAAAGAGAAATATCCAACACTGCGCTGAGCAATCAAAACAAAATGTCAGAGAAACAAAAACAAAGCAAAGACGAAGCGGAGTAATAAAAGTCCGCAAAAAAATTCGAAAAATGCTACAGGTTATTGACACCGGCCAACACGCGAACGTAGTACGCGATATGTATGTATATGGAAGGGACAGCGTAACGCAAAAGTTTCGGTCAGGAGGGGGCGGGGGGGGGGAAGCGTTAGGCGGTGGCATGGCAGCTAGACAGATAGTCGAACTGCCGGCCAATTAGAAGCGCGTCGCTTACAAGTTTTGGCGCGCTCCGACGTAAATTCGCTAAAACGAATAGGCGCACTTTGAATGAAATAGGAGATCGCAACGCATTTACGTAAAAAAAAATATACACTAGCTTAGAGGTATGGGCATACATACACACATATTTACACACACACACAGTAGAAAATCAAGAAAACATTAAGGCACGGTGCACATTAGAGCGATACGATAAGCGATACGATATGAAAGCGACATCGACGTGCTGAGTACGTGAGAATTGGTAGGAAGCGATGAAAACGGTGCTCATTTGCATGACTGCGACACTGCGGCGACACAATATCGCTTGCTTATCGGCCGAGCGACACGGTTTGCTATCGCGCCGCATATGCTATTGCGTGTCGTATCGCTCTAATGTGCACTGCGCGCATGTCGATGTCGCTTCCATATCGTATCGCTTATCGTATCGCCTATTGTATCGCTCTAATGTGCACCGTGCCCAACCGCCAGCAGCTTTGAAATTAGACATTATTCTACAACGTTTCCCAACACGGGATAGCTAAGCGTCGATAAATTTTTTGAACCAACTATGTACTTCGCTTCTAACTTATTGCCGAGAGGCAATTAATTAGGTCGTTCGGTGTATTAAAGGCGCAGTGGAAATTCGTCGAGGCTCTCAGACTTCAGACGTAATAAGGATTTGGAATTATATTAGGCATCACGGCGTGAATTCGAATCGAACAGTAACCTGTAAATACACTAACTCGAATTAAAAGTTGCGTCTTTGTGATACCCGAAAACATTCTGATGTAATTTGTCTATTTTGCTACTGAGGAATAAGCGCTAAGGGCTGCCTTAGAGATTTACGAGCTGTCCATGGATAATGCCGCGTAAAAATACCGTTCGAAGTTCGCCCTCTGCATTCTAGTAGTAGGTACCCGATGACCACACTGACTGCTGTCCCTAAATTGGAGCGCTAAGCGGTGCGTTTTCCAATGCCAACGAGTGCCAGCGCGCGCCATATCCAAATAAACGCGGCGTAATTTTTGAGGGTTTTCCATTTTCTCTCGTTTTTATTAACATTTCAAATTCCATTTGCTAGGCGCAGGCGCCGCGTTATTGTCGTATGCTTCATACAAATTGTATGGCCATGAGGATTTTTGACAGTTCCTTGGCCATTAATGCCATTTCCGGATCCCAATATATTGAGTAAACGTCAACGTACCAAACCAATAAAAGTCCCTATTTTCAAGGCAGCTTACCTGTGGGACTTACGTACATATATACATGAAACACAATGGTAGGCTTCATTTCACACTGCTTTCACTTGTCTTTAATTGGTATTATGCTCTAATTTTTCCTGCCGGGTTCTTTTTGAATCGAAAGTTTGTAATTGGTGGCTGCACATGAGTATCTTACTACGCGTCTTAATTTGTGAGCAAGCACCGAGACCTGTATCTGTGTACATTTGTAAACAGCTAAAGCAATTTCATCAGCCAAAATGGCAAAAAGCAGAAATTGGTAGAGAACCAGAAGAACTAGTGGAAGCAATAACAAAACCATAATCGTGAATGTGTGTGCAAAAAAAAGAAGCAAAGCATCGCCAAAAGCGATAAAGGAACATCTAAGATCTGTATGAATTTCGCAAGTCTTTCGAGAAAAAAAGACTTGGAATAAAAAAGGGTTGAATGAAACTTTTCGAAATATTTTTTGCCATTAAAAGTTTTTGTTATTTTTATTTGGGTTCTTATTTATAGCACAATGTTTTATTGTTGTTTTGCAGTTGTTGTTTTTGTTTTTTGCTTCTCTTTATTCACGATGTGTTGTTTGCAAATAATATTCAAGTGCCGATGTTGCTGCTGCTTTCAAAAACTGGTTTTACACTTTTTCATTCCAAGTAATTTCATTTGTTGCGCTTTTTTCGGCTCTCCGAGCGTTTGCTGGTGTTGCAGGTGCTGGTGGCGGTGGCGGTGGTGGTGGTGGTGGTGCGGGATGTACCTAAGTGGATTTGAGGTTAATGTCTCTAGGAGGCGTTCTTAAGACGTAGTAGCCTCATTTACGAGGGAAACACGTGAACTTCGAGCGCTCAGAGCCAGAATTTGCTGTCCGAAATCGACGCGTGTGTTGTGTTTTCTCCTCGAGCGCATTATGCGAAGTGTTCATGTGCGTACTCCTATGTATGTACATATGTATGTGTGAATGTAGATGTTGCGGTGCTCCAGCCTGCGCGCGAAGCTAAGCGCTTCAAACCGGTCTTGTATTTATTTATTTATATTGTTCCACAAGCGAAATAATTCGCCTGCCTCAGGTCTATGCTCGCCGGGTCGTACAGAGATTTTTGGCCTCTAACGATAACATCTTTGCTTTGCGAAACGGTTTATAATTAAGCATTTTACGATTGTCAAGTATTTATTTTCTTTCTGCGTTTGTAGCTTTCTTGAGAAACGGAGTGCTTGTGGGCTTCTTTTAAACTGACATGACCAACAATGTAACACTTCCGCTTGGGGCCAGTGAAAACTAGAATTCCACAGAAACTACATGCATATGCATGTTTGAATTAGTATAAATCCACGATTTTCATGAAATTTTAAATCATTCCTTTCAAAAAAGCACTTGGCATATCCTGAAATTCGATCTAAATAAGTCGATACCAACAGCGACATAATGAAATTCCCGAAACTTGAGCAAAGTTGATTAAGAGGACTTCGGTTCCATTCTTAACTATCTACTTGTTTCGTTTGAGGCAGTTCCATAGAATGTTCTACAGTTTCCGGGGTCCTTATTAGCGGAATAGGTTAAAAATTGACCTATCGATGCCAGATCGAGCAGGACGTTCCGAGCTTCCGTTGGATCGCTAAGTTTTCCACCACCGGATTCACGCTAAGATAAAAAAAGTCCGGTCAAGGAATATTTTTTTCGGGCGCTTTCCTTTCTCTGTTGCCTTTTATTTTAGGTAGGCATATTGGAAGCTTCTTGATTTATAATTGGTAATATTCCATCAACGGATATATGATTTAAAGGAGTAAAAATTCAACAAAAAGCTCCGGAAGTTCCTCCAAAGCGTCTTCATAGAGATGTAGTTCAGTGTAGCGATCTCGAGTTCTTCGGCCCTGCACTCTGCAAACTGCTCATCCAGGAGGAAGTCCAAGGACACATGGTCCACTCGCCATGCTTGGAAAGCGCAACGGTTATCATGTGGACGTATGCTGCTATTTAGAGATAGAGATTACTTACTCTTTCGTGGTGTTTAGAGATGTTTGTTGAAATGGAAACGGGATTTGAATTTAGATTCGGGAGTTCTAATCTCCCCGGGACAAATTGCGTTTAATCTATTTGCTTTGCAGCTAGCCTGGGATTTCCAAAATAAGTATACTAGATCTACACTAAGAATTTCCTTTAATACACACCTCTCGGCTTTGTCTCTAAGATTTCATAAGACAAGTGTATTAAGTGTCATGAGAAGTCGTGTTTGAGGCGGATCTCTGCGCTGGACAGAAAAACTATATAACAATTTTTACGGCAGCACCTACTTACATAGCAAGGTATGAAAACGTAAGAAAGTTGTTTGAATTTTGACTTCTAAGCGTAAATGTCAAACGCATGCTATGGTGATCCACTTTTACTTCGGCACTCTCGATAGCTTTTGATTTTTTTTTATTCTTATCCAGGCTTTC